CTCAGCCCTTCTTTTTTTTGGGTCTTTTTGAGGCAGGGTCTCGCTATGCAGTTCAGGCTGGCCTTGAGTTCACTTTGTAGCTCAGGCTGGTCTCGAACTCATGATAATCCTCCTGCCTCAGCCTCCCCAGTGCTGGGATTACAGGCGTGCGCCACCACACCCGGCCCCCAGCCCTTCTTATTTATTTTTTTAATTTTAAGAACAGTTCTTTTTAAATTGCTAAGTTGTCCAGGCTGGGCTCAAGTATTGCATCTGGTGGTAAAACCTATCATGAGAAACTAAAAAATAAAAGATCGTACTTGTTGCAAGGCAGTTTTTCTCCAAGGCAACTTTAATACAAAATTGTTTGTGATTGTGAAAGCCAGCCTATCTGAGATTACCTTATTCTCCACGGTGGCTGCGGACAGTGGGGGGAGAGGCGAAAGGGAGAGACTTCTTAAATAAGTGGATGAGCGTGGACCTGAGTGGCTGATGATCCTCCCGGGGGAGGGTAGGTGGGCGGGGTAGCTGCTTGCAAAATGTGTTTGTAGCCAAAGCTCTCTAAGGGACAGCGTAGCCTTAGGTAATTAATGTTAAACAATGCCTTCCCGACTTCCAGTCGCCTTTAGTGTGGGCTTCCCCAGGGTACCACAGGCCACAGAGAAGCCAAGTCTCCCACACCGAACTGAGCACAGGGAGCAAGGCCCTGATTAGTTAAATATGCTCCGGAAAGAGCTCTTCTGTTTGTTTTTCAGCCCTGATTTGGTTATGTTGCAAATGGTGGAGGCCAGTGGGGAAGGGGGAGGGGCTATATTACAGCCCAGAACGCGAGGCTCCTGCACCTGAGGGAACCCTCTTCCAAGCACAGCCCGGCTACCTGCAGCCCGGAACGGGGAACCCGAGACCCCGGCCAGCAGCTCCCACCCCAGCGGCCACACCTCCGCGGCTGGCTCTGCATAGTCAAGGGTACAAGTGGGATTTCCATTAGGATCGACTCTACTTTATACCAACCCCCACTGCTTTAAAGAAAAAAAGTAATTGAAAAAACTTATACATACTCCTGGCTCCATTTTTACTTACATTTAATTTTTTTTTCATTTTTTTGTTTTTTTTGAGACAAGGTCTCACTATGCAGTCCAGACTCGACTTGAACTTGCTTGGAACTGTTCTGCCTCAGTCTCCTGAGGGATGGGATTGCACATATGTGCCCCCACAGCCAGCTGCTTGTTTTTTTTTAAAACTTTGAAATAAATATTAAATATTGCAGATTATAATCACCAGAAATAGCAAACTAGGAAGTGACTTTGAAAAAAAAAGAGTCAGGTACGGTGGCACATGCCTGTGATCCTGACATTTGGGAGGCCAAGGCAGGAAGATGGCAGCAAGTTTGAGGCCAGCCTGGGCTACATAGTGAGTTCAACACCAGCCTGAATTGTATAGCAAGACCTTGTCTCAAAAAAAGAAGGGAAAAAATACCCATGATTTTTTTGTGTGTGTGCGGTACTGGGATTGATTCCGGGGGTGCTATACTGCTGAGTTACATCCACAGCCCTTTTTATTTTTTATTTTGAGACAGGGTCTTGCTAAATTGCCTAGGGCAGCTTGAACTTGAGATCCTCCTGCCTCAGCCTTCCTCAGTTCTGGGAATATAGGCATACACCACTGCAGGCCAGCTTACCTGGTATTTGGCAACTGTTTTTGAAGTAAATTACTTCTTGGAATTCTTTTGTAGTGCAATCGATAATATATTTTGTAGGTACACACAGTAAAGAATATTAGTCTGTCAAAATTGTCCTATCTATACTCAGACAGATTTTGAATATATGCTATATAAGATATATACTCTATATTCCAAGAAGGTGCATATATATTCTGTATAAGACAGCATGGTTATGTTATGAATATACTTAACCATATTCCAAAACAATCTCGAAATGTATCTGTTCTATCTTTGAAATCTCTGTATACAATTTTTGAGGAGTACAGTCCAGTTGGGGTTCATCTAGAAGAGTTGTCAGCACAAATGTGTGAATGATTTGAGGTGAAGGATGTGTGTGCTGAGACTGATTCTTCCCAAAGAACCCTGGAAAAGAAAACATTATCAAGGGAAACTAAGGCATTCTGAGGAATGGCCAACATGAGGTTTTCCAACAGCAAAGAAAACGCTGTTCTTTCTTCAGAAAACTCCAAGCTCCAGAAAGATGATGGGAGCTAGGACTGGTGGCGCACGCGTATGGTCTCAGCACTTGGGAGCGGAGGCAGGAGGATCACTGCGAGTTGAGGCCAGCCTGGGCTACACAGTGAGACCGTGTCTCAGCCAAAAAGCCCCAGAAAAGTCATTAATGGTATTTACTCTAAAAATTAAAATGTGCTGGTTTAAGAGAACTATTTTAATTTTTAAAATCTGTGAATGGCTTTTCACCATATGCAAACCATCTTATTTTTGGAAACGAGAGAAAAATGTGTCTATGCATAGAAAAGAATGGAAAGTTCATATCCAATGTTAGCAGATTTCCCTCAATGGACAAAAACCTCCCCCTCCTCCTCCTCTTTTTTGCAGTGCTGGGGATGGAACCAAGGGCTTTGCACATGCTAGGCAAGTGCTACACCACCGAGATATATTCTCAGCCCTTTTTATTTGGGGACACAGTCTTGCTAAACTGTTCAGACTGGCCTCAAACTTGTAATCCTTCTGTGTTAGCCTTCACAGCATTGGGGATTACAGGTGTTCACCATCATCCCTGGCTTGGAGTTTTTTTTTTTTTTTTAATTTAATTTAGTTAACATGTTTATTTGTCTTTTTTGAGACAGGATCTCACTACGTAGTTCAGGGTGGCCTTGAACTCACAATGATCCTCCTGCCTCAGCCTCCCAAGTGCTGGGATTATAGGCATGCACCACAATGCCTTTTTTTTAAAATTTTTTTTTTCTTCCAGTACCAGAAATTGAACTCACGAACTTGCACTTGCCAGGCAGGTGCTGTGCTGCTGAGCTAAATCCCCAGCCTTTTTTTTTTTTTTTTAATTTGAAAGAGAAAAAAATAAAACAAAATTTCAAAGCAAGATAATATGAAGGTAACAATACATCTCCTATTGTTATCTTTAAATTAGTTACTCAAAATACTAAGATATCAGCATTTAACTGTCCAAACAATATTAACACAAACCTTTCTTTTCAATGAACTAAGAGAAATTAATAGTATAAGTATCTTATATGTATACATACAAACATACACATATGTGTGTATGTATTTTTTTTGCTTTTCTCTTCTTTCTTTTTTCCATTCCTCCATCCTACTTTCTCTTTCCTTTTGAAGTTTCTTCCCATTTTACAATATTGAAGTTTTTTTTCTAGTGTTTGTTTTTGTTTTTGTGGTATTGAGCATTGAATCAAAGGCCTTCACACTGAGTTATATCTCTAGTTCTTTTAAAATTTTTTTATATTTTAAGACAGGGACTTGCTAAATTGCTAGGTTGCTCAGGCTGCGCTCAAACTTGTGAATCTCCTGCCTCAGCCTCTCAGAGTGTTGGCATTACAGGTGTGTACCACCATGCCCGGCTCAGGAATTTTATTCTTTTAGGTCAGGTGTGGTGATGCGTGCTTGTAATCCCAGTACTAGGGAGGCTGAGGCAGGAGGGCTGCTGTGAGTTTGAGGCCAGCCTGTGCTACACAGTGCCCTGTCTCAAAAACCAAAACCAAACAAAAACATTTGGTATGGTATATGTGAGAATTCTTTGCACTATTTCTGTAGCTCTTATATTTCAAAATAAAAGGTTCTCAAGGCTCTCTTAATCTCGCTGTAGTCAGCATGCTGATGAGGAGTCTACATTCAACGCACAGACATTCTGCCGGGTGCGGTGGTGCACGCCTGAAATTGCGAGTCCAGTCTAGACCGCAAAGTGAGTTCAAGGCCAGCCTGGGCTGCATACCCAGGGCCTGTCTCCCAACACAGACTCCCCCAGACACACACACACACACACACACACACACACACACACCCATGTCATCTCTGCACTCTGGGAGGCTGAGGAAGAAGGAATGCAAGTTCGAGCCCAGCCTATCGCAAGACCCTATATCAAAAGAAAAACTGAAGACTGGAGATGTAGCTCAGTGCAGAGGCCCCAGATTCAATCCCCAGTACCACAAAAAGAAAAAAGCTGGACTGTAAACCCCAAGTGACATTAATGACAAGTCCTCAAGTTGTGAACTTAAATTGCAGGTGAAAGGATCAGCCTTTTAGAAATCGAAGAACAGGCATCTGATGCCCCAGTGAGAAGGTACAGACCTCTTGTCAGCTTCCCACCCCAGCTCTGGGGAGACTCTGGTCCTACCTCGACAGTACTCCTCCTAGGACAGAGCAAAGAATACCCAGGACGCTGCTGTCCCTTCACTGCTGTCTATCCATTGAGGCAGTCACTCTACCCTGCTCCAGCACTCAGCCTTGTTCTTCACGGTCACCAGCAGAGGGCGCTGCAACCCAGCCAATGGACGCAGCGGCACCCAACGGCTAGGAGGTGGAATAGGTGGAAACGCTGAATCACCCGGCTGAGTCTGTAATACCAGACCATGCCTCTATCATATTTTTCTATTTCCCCCTGGACTGTGAGCTCTGACTGTGTCTGATTTGTCTTCTGTCTGCAGCCTCACACGGTGCCTGACACAAAGCCGCGCTTGGCAAATAGGAACTGTAGTTGCTATTTCTGGCACTCAACAAATGCGAATTCAGCAGAAGTGGCCAGATGTCGGGCTCACGGGGCTTGTCAAGCAGCTGCGTCCCCCACCCCCCCACCTCTTATGGGTCGCTCTGGCGTCTCAGGCCAGTAGACACTGTTTTTTGCTTCAGAACACCCTTCCTTCATGAGACCCCTTCAAATTAGGTCCTGCGAAATCCATCCTCCCTACCCCACCCCTTCCTGATCCCAAAACATCTGCCTCGCTGCGGGCATCGCCTCAGAGGGCCGCCCTCCCCGACTCCAGAGTGGCTTCCAAGTCCCCCGGCCCAGGTCACGGCAGAGACTCACATTCCCGCGGGTACCAGTGGCTGGAACCGCCACTGCTCCTCCTCACAGTCCAGGAAGAGCCGGTTCATGATCTTGTTCTTCTCCTCAGGGGGGATGAAGTTCTCGATGATTAGGTACCTGGGAGGAGGGAGGGAGAAGCCCTGTGGTTCGGGGAAAGGCTGAAGGATTACAGGCAGCTCCCAAAGTTGGGGGAAGGGAACCCTACAGAAAAACTGGAGCTTGAAAACCCCTGCCTTTGGGGTACTTCTGACACCCAGCATGCACTTGGGGGGCATCAAATTCAGGCCAAGGAAGCAGCAACTCCAGGCTGGGCCGGTCCCTCCTCCTCAGAGTCATTTGAACCCAAGGCACATGGGTCCTGGGTGGGCACACGGTAAGGACAGGCCTTCAGGAGGGAGAAGAGTCACTCGGGAGGCCCTGAGTCTGTGGGGACCTGGGCCTGAAGAGGAGCTGGCCCTACTTGAGCTTGAGTTCGCGGGTCTGCTCGTTCTGGGCTTCCTCCAGGTCCTGCCGCACGCGGATGTACTCATCATGTTGGTCCTGGATCTCCGCCTTCACCGCCTGCAGCTTGGCATAGAGCTGGGTGGGGACAGGCGCAGCTCAGGGGCTGCCCAGTGTGGCATCGGGGCCCCAGTCACCCGCCCGGCCTGGGCCCTGGGGGCTGCAGGCCCACAGGCTCAACCCAGGACGGGCCCGGGCATCCCAGCCAGAACTCTCCAGGGCTGCCCCCCACCAACGAATCAGAGAGCTATGTAAAGGGCTGCTCTGTCCCCCTGCACTGAGGCCTGCTCTCCTTCAGCAGCTATTAGCATTGGCAGATGTAACTACAAGGGACCCTTTCTCCAACACCCTGTTTGTGTATGTGTGTGTGTGTGTGTGTGTGTGTGTGTGTGTGTGTGTGTGTATTTATTTATTTAAAACAGGGTCTCACTATGTAGTTCAGGTTGGCCTTGAGTTCACTATGTACCCTAGGCTGGCCTTGAACTCGCAGTAATCCTCCTGCCTCAGCCTCCAGAGTGCTGGGATTACGGGGGTGCACTGCCATACCTGGCAACACCCTCTTTTTATAGATGAGAAAGCTGAGGCATAGACCAGCTTGTCAGGTCACACCCCTAGTCCACAGAAGAGCCAGAGCTAGGACTGGAGTATCTCACTTGAAGACCCAGGCTGGGGTTGGAGGACCACTGAGTGGGAAGGTGACTGACTCCACTCCTGCTTCTCCAGGGTTCCCAAAGCAGGGGTGTGGAGGTCGGTACTGGCCTGCCCGGCCCACCCCTAACCCACTGAGCAGCATCCACAGTGACTGCCACGGTAGCTGGGCCTCAGCCTGGCCAGTCCTAGGGCAGCCACATCAGTGACCCTGGGGGTTCCAGGCTCCCCCCCCCATCACAGCTGGACACGTCTTTCCCCTGCCATGGTCTGCAGGGTGCTGGTGACCAAAGAGTCGTGTCCCTTGACACAGTATGGAGGGCCTTGTTTTCCTTTCCTGGACTTCCCCAGGCTTGAGTCTTTTTCTCTCTCTTCCCTGCCATCCCCTGGGCCTTCTCTGGGTCCAGCTATCAAGACTGTGCCTCAGGGAAGGGGATATAGCTCAGCGGCACAGTGCCTGCCTGCCAAGCACAAGGTCCTGAGTTCAGTTCCTGGTACCAAAAAAAAAAAGATTGTGCCTCATTGGTGACTTTATAAGCAGGGGAGGAGTTATTCAGGACCATGCCGGCGGCAACTCTCAAGAACGGAGGTGCAGCTTACTGCCTGTGAGCCCCTGTGGCCCAAGAGAAAAGGCTCAGTTCTGCCCGGCACCACCCTCCCGCCTTCTCCACTCCTCCCTCTATCAGCCCTGGGGGTACAGCTCAGGGGTTGTATCTGGGTTGTATCAGCCGTCCCTGCTCAGTAGGGAAGGTTCCTGAAGCTCAGACTCCTGGGGGGCCCGCTGCTGCAGCTCTCACCTTCTTGAGCTTCTTGGTTTTGACCTCCACCTCCTGCTGCAGGGACGTGTAGGTGCCCCGGAGCTCCACGGTCTCCTCATCACGGAGAATCATCTCCTGCTGCATTTCCCGCTCACGGCGTTTCTAGGCCAAAGCAGGGCAAGGGGGCCTGGTGAGACGGCACTGCCAGGAGTAGGCCAAGGACACCTTCGGACCGCCTCGCTCTGCCTGTCATGGCACCTGGCTTTGCCGTGGCCCTGGGTGCCAGGAGGATGGATCCCCAGAGGAGCGGTGGATGCAGGACCCTCTGCGCAGTTCTCATGGCCAGGTCTTTGCCAGGCACTGTGCCCAGAGGAAGAGAGCCCAGGCTTGGGGCTGGCAGACTCCAGGGGAGTCGTCTACACACACGGATGCCCACCACACCACCTCCTATGCTGCCCCGCTTCCCCGCGAGCGGTACAGTGGACCGGGAATCAACAAATTGTGTCTTGGTGATTCAGGAAATAGTTGTACAGTTGGCAGCGAACTCACGTCCTGTGGAAGGCCCAGGAGGTAGTGCCCCCTTGTGGGTGCTTTACCATCTCCTCCCGCCCACAGGAGCTGTGCTCCTGCCAGCGGAAGGAGCTGGTACCTGGGCTGGTACTCGGAAGGTGCCCAGAGTGCTGCTCAGCACTGGTCCCCAGGACCCCAAGCCCACGATGCACGAACGCCCTCCCCGAGACGGGCCTCCAGGCCTGTGGCCCAACAGGTCCCGAAGCCGGGCAGCCCCACCTGCTCGGCAATCTCCTGCCTCTTCAGTTCCAGCATCTTCTGCTGCTCGTTGGTGTGATCCATGATGTTCCTGCCCCCGATGAGCAGCTTGCTCTCCATGGCCTGGGGACACACAGGGGGTCGGAGGGTTTGCCAAGGGCCGCAGCACCCCTAGTTTGAGAGATGCTGTGCCCCTGCTCTGGGCTCCTTCTAGGAGCGGACAGAAGATGTGTCCCAGATAGGGCCTCGAGGGGTGGCCCTCCAGGAGAGCGGAGTTTTCCCGGCTAGCCTCTTGAACGCAGGTACCACAAGGCTCCCATTGTGAGAGGCTCCTTCCGGAGCCAGGAGAGGGCACCCCTCTGGGAATACAGGGCACCTGATCTGTTTGCTTTGGATACAGAGGAAAGGCTGGCTCCCCAGGCTTGCCTGAGGTGGGCGGCCATCTAACCCTGGGAACCAGGCCCCCAGGGGTTCAGGAGGGGAGATCAAAGACAGTCAGCAACCCTGCAGCCCGGCCTTTGTACTCAGCAGCTCCTGGCTCAGAAGACAGTTCTCTATTTGGGCAGTAGGAAAGGGGTTGATTTTTGGTCCATGTGGAAGGCAAAAGAAAAGCCAAAAGGAGCCATTGTGTAGTAGGAGGTGGGGAAAGGAGGCCCAGAGGCAGCCAGGATTTTGGAGGCCACCTGAAAGGCTGGGCTTCCCCGGACAGGAGGCCACGGGTGAGAACAGGAGTGTGAGAACACTGCAGCCTCCCTTCCAGCACGACTGGAAAACATTTCCCAGAGCGCTGTTAGGTGCTGAACTAAGCCCTGAACAGCCATGGCCTCCATCCTGCCCTGAGAGAGAGGCCGATTTCTCTCCTTATTTAACAAACGAAGACATTGAAAACAACTAGCCCACGCAGACTTGTGCCCTGGCCCTGCACTCCTTCTCAGAGGCATCTGCTCTGTGAAAGCCCCAGCGAGCCTTCAGCAGACATTAGTAGACGCTTCTGGAGTTGGAAGTTGCAATAATAGATTTCTGTAATTTTTTTTTCTTTTTAGTACTGGGGATTGAACCCACAACCATTACACTGACTACATCTCTGTAGTCTTTTTTTGTTTTGTTTTCTTGTTTTATTTTGTTTTGTTTTCTAGTACCGGGAATCGAACTCATGACCTTGCGCTTGTCAGGCAGGTGTTATACCGCTGAGCTAAATCCCCAGCCACCTGTATAGTCTTTTTATTTTTATTTTTTCCTGAGACAGGGACTCAGTGAGTGGCTAAGTAGCCCAGGCTGGGCTCTTACTTAGAATTCTCCCGCCTGAGCCTCCCCGCGTCCCGGGACTACAGGTGTGCAACCCCAACACTCGACTTGGATTTGTGTCAATTATGACTTCATAAAATGGATTGTCCCTGTTGCCAGTAAATGGGTTGGCCCCCGACAGAAGCCAGCGGTCCTCTGCTTTCATCACAGCCCTTCTTCCTGGAAGGCCAACATCACCTTGAGCCACAGGAAGCAGCTGGCTATCTCCCCACTGGAATTCTTCCCAGTGGGACCAGCTGACCTGCCAAGGTCTCCCAAAGCAGAAGGTGTTGATGGAGCGGGGAAGGGGAGCAGGTGGCCTCTTGGGAGACCCCCACACTGGGAACAGAGCAGGAGAGGGGTTAGGCACTGCCAGGGTGCCCAGCGAAGTCGGGACAGAGAGGTAGGAACCCATGTAAGCCTTGGTAGCCTCAGAGGCCCTGGAGAGAGGAGGGGGTCTCTAGAGTGACTGGTGGTCCTCACTGGCACATTGCCACCCCCTGCAGCCCTAGCTATGACCTCTCCCTCCACCTCATCACCAGGTCACATGTTTAACTCATTTTTTATGGGGGCTACTGAGGTTTGAACCCAGGCCTCACACATGCTAGGCAAGTGCTCCATCTTGCAGGAAGAAACCCCAGGTCTGCAGTAGCTCCAGGTTGCAGGGCCGCCCCCCCCCCACCCCACCCCTGCTCCTCCAGGCCGTCCGTCTCCTGACTGCTCATTCCCCACATGTGCTCTGTACTCCAGCTCCCTCCATGCGTCGTGGCTCCTCACAAGGCCCTTCCTCCGGCTCCACATCCACCCGGAAAATGGCGACTTATCCTGCAAGCACACCTGGAGCACCTTGGGAAATTTTCCCTGCTTCCCCTCAAAGCTGCTCTTTCTGGTCTCAAGAATTAGGACATATTCCTACTGTTTTCCCACAGCAGAATCATTGTTTGTCTACACCCTGTCTTTCCTGTGTGTCCTCCAAGGCAGGGATCATGTCTCACTTGTGCCTCAGGGTCCCTGGGGCCCATGGCGCTGGCTCAGTAAATGTGTGATGAACTGAAGGGAATCTTGGGCAGTCTCTGAGGGATTCCGGGTCTTCTCTTTGGGTTCTTTTGACTAGAACAAGCCCAGGCCTTTACTTGAGCTTCTCCTCCTTTGATGGGGTAACCCCCATCCCTGTCACAAGAGGGAAGGAGGGACGCTGAGGAGGAAGCCGCCTTCTGCTGAGAAGATGGGAACTGATGGCTCTAACTAGCGGGTAACAGTGTTTTCAGGGGTCTGGTATGTGACCTGGCCTCCAAACCTGGGACATAATCCTGCACTTCAGCCCCAAGTCCTTGCATTTTCCTCAGCATTTTATGTGATGCTAGCAATTTTTCTTTTCCTTTGGTCACCTAATAAACACATCAGGTCTGACATTCTGCTGCATATTAGAATCACCTAGGAACATTTTCAGTCCATACAGATTGCCTCCTTAGCATATGGTGCTGGGAAAACTGGCTACTCACAGGCAGAAGATTGAATCTACACTCATATCTTTCACCATGCACTAAAGTTAAAATGGATCCAAGATCTAAACAGAAACACTTAATGCTGGTAGATAAAATAAACTCTTGAAGACACAGGTATAGGCAAGAACTTTCTGAACAGAACCTCAATTGCACAAGAAATAACACCAAATGGGATCCTCTGCCTAGCAATGGAAACAATCAACGGAGTGAAAAGACAACCTACAGAATGGGAAACGTTTTTGTCAGCTACAACTCAGAGGACTAATATTCAAAATATGTAAAGAACTTAAAAAAAATTAGACCCTCCCAAAACAAAAGACTCAGTCAAAAAATGGGTAATCGAAACAAACAGACATTTCTCAGAGGAAGTACAAATGGCCAACACAGGAAAAAAATGTTCAATATGCTTGGCCACTGGAGAAATGCAAATTAAAATAACACTGAGATTCCATCTTACTCCAGAAAGAATGGCTATCATCAAAAAATCAACCAGTAGCAAATGCTGGCAAGGCTGCAGGGAAAAAAACCTTTCTACATTGTTGGTGGGAATGTAAACTAGTATAACCACTACGGAAATCAGGTATGAAGGTTTCTCAAAAAATTAAAACTAGAAATTCCTTTTGACTCAGCCATCCCCCTTCTAAGTCTCTTCCCTAAAGAGTTAAAGACATCATAATTCAGAATAGCAAAATCTTGGAAGTGGCCTAGAAGTCCATCATCAGATGAATGAATAAAGAAAATATGCCATTTATAAACAATGGAGCACTATTCTGCCATAAAGGAGAATAAACTTAAGGCATCTGGAGGCAAATGGGTGCACCTTGAGATCACAATGTTAAGAGAAATAAACCAGACACACCAGCTTAAGTATTGCATGGTTTCACTTATATGAGAAACCCAAAATATAAATAAATTAAAGAGCAAAGTAAAAGATAGATAATAGGAGATAGGGAGGCAGATCTTTTGCAAATGGGAAGGGAATCAAGACATGGAGGGAGGGGAAGGGAACGGAAGAGGTGACGAAAAAAGAATTAAGATGTGTCCTGTGCATGAACCAACTCTCCACAAGAAACGTAATCATTTTGTATTGCAGTATGTACTCATAAAAAGTAAAAATTGAGAAAAAAAGTAAAAATTACATAAAAAGTAAAAATTGATGATTTTTAAAAGTCATCCTAACTTTACACGTTGAGAGCAATCTGTTATGAGCCAGAGAAAAAGGGGGACGCGGGAGGGGGTGTATGACTATTGATCCACCAGACACTGGCTTTATGTGCTGCTGCAGCTAAAAAACCCAATAGCATCTGGCCTCCATTCTAAAGGCTTTTTGGACACAAAACAAAAACCTTGTACCCTTGCACAGAGACGTGATGCAGCTGAACCTGGAGTACTGTGTACAGCTCTCTTACTGCGTCTCCTGAGCGGCAAAGGAGAAAGAAGATCCGGTAGGGCACCTAAGACCCTCCCAGGCTATTAAAAGATCCTTTGAAAAATAGGGCTCTTCACAGTCTGCATAGACAAAGAAAGGTTAGGACAATAGGCTGGAAACAACACCGTCCCAAATGTGGAGAGAAGGAAAGAGCCAGCCTTCTCCAATCGATCCTAGTGCGTAAGACAAGAGCTTATTCCTTGAATTTTGAAAGCAGCAACTTTCAGGATAAAATGAAAGGAAGTTTACTGCTTATAGAAGGCAATAAAATAAGAAATTTACTATCTTGGACATTGCTACTGCATTAAGTATTTTACAGTTTATTGAGATTCTAGAGATACATTTTTAAGCATTTATGTATTGTCTTTCCTTTCAGAACAGAATTGCACAAATATCAAAACAACCACAGACACTTCCTACCATAGCTAATCATCTTCTTTCACTTTCTCTGTGTTTTTCTCCCCTAGATTCTTCCATGTGGACACATCATTTTTTACTTGTATAGACATGCTAAAAATCTAAGTGACTGCCGGGCATGATGGCACAAACCTGTAATCCCAGCACTCTGGGAGGCTGAAGCAGGAGAATCACAAGTTCAAGCCTAGCCTGGACAACTTAGCAGCTTACTGAGGGCTGAGGATGTAGCTCATTGTAAAGACCCTGGGTTCAGTCTCCAGTACCACAAAACAAGACAGAACAAAACAAAATCAACAACAACAACAACAACAAAAAAAGCTATATTCTCCAATTTCCATTTTAGTACTTCAAGCATTTTGTTTTTAGAATGTTTTTATTAATGATTATATCATATTTAGAGTTGATAATTTATAATTTATAATCATAAATACCCTTGGAAAATTTTTTACTTTTATTCCTTCTTTGTTTTTTGTGTGTCTTTTTGAGACAAGGTTTTGCTATGCAGTTCAGCCTGACCCTAACTCACTTTGTAGCCCAGGCTGGCCTTGAACTTGCAGCAATCTTCCTGCCTCAGCTTCCCTCCCGAGTACAGGCACGTGCCACCATGTCTGGCTTTTAACTCTTTTAGATGACTCAGAAGGAAATTTCAGGAGTGGACAAAGGTTATAAACAATTTGGGTACCCCGGAACATATGTCGAGTTAACTTTCTAATGGTTTATACCACTTAAACTACTGCCAGCAATAAATAATGGAACCATTTTTATTATAGCATCATTGGGATGAAGTATTCTCATTATTTAAAAATGTTGTCATAATAACAGGTATAACATCGAGCCTCCTCATCTATCTTTTATTGTCCGTACTGTCAAGGGGGTGCCATGGATCTCTTCTCAACACACTTGTCCTTCTAGGGAGATAGTTTTTCAGTGAGGGGAAGGACTCTGATTCACAACAGGATTGATCCTTCCTTTCTCCTTTCCTACTCTCTTTCTTTCTCTCCCTTTCTTTCTACTGGGGATTGAGTCTGGGGCCTTCACAATGCGCTCTATCACAGCCCTTTTTTTTGAGACAGAGTCTCCCTAAGTCACTAAATTGCCCCGGCTGGGCTTGAACTTGCAATCTTTTGGCCTCGGCCTCCCAAAGTACTGGGACTACAGGCACGCGCCACTATGCCTGGCCAAAACAGGATTCTTTACTTAGCTCCCACTGTTTGTAGCTACCTGCACCTAGAACCAGGCTCTGCTCACTTGAAGGCTTGCACTTCACCCAGTTCTCGAACCCACCTGGACATTATCAGGCTGAATCTGAGCTGCGATGCAGGCCTGGGATCCCACGTATCATCCCAGACTCTTGGGCCCTGAGTCCTAGCCTTCCTCCCCCGTCATTCCCATGGTACAGTTTTCAGGACTGCTTCCTGCTAGCCTCTTCCTGTAGATCACCTTAGACCTAGAACTCGGCTTCAGTCCTCTCCTGCTGGCGGGGCCCCAGGCTCCCGGAAGAGAATTCCTAGGTGACTGACAGCCCATCAGCACCCAATTCCATTTGCCCAGTGCCCTCTGTTTTTCAGACAGCCCTGCCAGGCCCCAGCACAGATGTGCACTGGATGACAACTGGACCTGCCTTACTACTTCCCGGCCAAGTCTTGCCCACCTTCCCAAACACACACGGTCAGCCAAGCCTGGCAGACAGGGCCAGTCTCGAACTGGGAGGAGGGGAGGGCCTGGCCTTGGAACACGAGCTGCCACAGGGCCTCAGCCCCCACCTCCCCGGTCTCATTCAGCCTTGCACTCTGGTCTGTGTCACCCACAGCTTTCTTCCCCTCTGCCCAGAAACAGGCTTTTGTTCTTCCTCTTTCTCTTCCCCATCTTTCTGGTAATCTCATCTCCTTAGCTATCACCTGTGGAGAGCAGGGACAGGGAGGCCTGCTGTCCCTTAGGTCAAGGCAGGCTGGGTGTCTCAGGCAGAGGCCCTGAGAAGGAGGAGTTCTAGTCTCCACGAAAAGTTCCCTGGAGCTCTCAGCAGCTCTGCTCAATGCTTCCATTGTGATCTTTCAGGGCAAAAAGGGCATAGGTGGGTGGGGCCTTTGGCTAGGACTGAGTTTGGCCCAGGGGTTCTAAATCAATCCAGTGTGACTAAAAGGCCAGCTGAGGCTGTGGGGGCGGAGGAGACAGAGCTGGGAAATCCAGGACACCATGATCTGACTCTTGAGAGAGGGATGCAAATCACACAGAAGTCAAGGGGACCTCAGGATCATCAATCCTGACACCCATGCCGTACAGGTGAAACCAATGCCCAGAGATAGAGCCCTCTAAACGTGATGTCTCCTAGTGAGGAATCTCTGCGTGTATTGTTCTTACATCAACTTTGCACTTTTCAAGTAATGCCCCAGTTTGATCAAGACTCTAATTCCAGGTATCAGAGGCAGATCTGCTGCTGTGACAGTTAACAGCCAGGATCACCACAGGGACTGCGTTGGCTATAGAGAGCAGCTGACCTCTCCCTATTCCAGGAGCCCACAGCATATGAAGCCAGAGTCGGGAGACAGGAGGCCCCAGCACTCACTAAGTACTGATCTGGAAAGCTGGAGGGGAGACAGCCAGGCCTGGGCAGCCACTCTTCAGAGAAGATATCATCAAGTACAATTTGCCAAGGACGGAGGAGCCAGACTGGCTCTGCCCTGCCGCTGCTAGCTAATCTATGACACTCCGCAGGCGACAGGAGCCTCAGATGCAACTTGCAGTATGTCTGTGGCTGGGCTAGGGCCTTTGTATCTTAATCATCCTGTTTAACCATCAGAAGAATCTTCTGAGATAACGATGACTGTCTCCACTTGACATAAAAGAAAACTAAGGCTCAGATAGGAGAAGTGATTTGCTTAATGTTTCGGAGCCAGTGAGTGACAAGGCAGTGTGTGATCATCAGTCTCCTGGGTCCAGGCCCAGTGTCCTCTGGCTGTTCCACAGCTTCCTTATGGGTCGAGGCAGGGAGGCACCTTGGAGAGAAGCGGCGCTTGGTATCTGTACCTTTGCCAACTCGAGAACCATCAGGAAGGCTCAGAGCACCACTGCTTTCTCCTCCAGTGGCAACAGCCAGGGCTTGGCTGCGGATGACTATGCCAGTGTGAGGCTCCCTGCGGAGAGTGAGTTAGAGCTCTTAACCAGGTGGAGGGAGGGGGTTCTGCATCACCAGAATGCCAGAGAGAGGCCGAAACCCGAAATGCTCACGGGAAAGGCCATCTTGCAACTTCCATGGCGGAATGACATAAAGAGTGCTGGGCATGTGGGTCAGAGCGTCTCAGTCCTCACAGGCTCTGCCACCGTCTTTGTTACACGACCTAAGGCATCGACTCTGGACTTCACTGTTCCTATCTGTAAAATGGGAGAGAATACCTACTCCTGCACAGGCTTTGGATAGAAGGGTGAGTCAGGCAACAGGTAAGAAAGTGCTGGGCGGCTGATCAAGTACAGCCAAATGTCAGTGATAAATCACTTACTCAGTGCCTCACTAGCACCTGCCCACTACTCACTACAAAGAGCAAAATCAAACAACTTGTTCAACAGACCCTGCTTCATCTGCTGGAAAAGACAGCTACTTCTACCTTCACAGGCCAATTTCTCCTTTCCTGGAGCCTGGATTGTAGGTCTTGAGGAGTCAGCAGTAAGGGAAGAAGAAACAAGAGACAAAGGGGAGGGGATGAATAGGGCTATTTTCAGATGAATAGTGCTATTTCCAGTGATTCTCTGTCCTGGGAATGTAAATCAGGACATTGCGACTGAATCTTCTCCTTGGAGGGCTCAAAACACAACATAAATGACTAAAGTTTCAAGTGCTAGGAATTCTCTCATCAGAAAAAAGAACAAGTGGAGAGCAGGAAAAAGAGCCATTAGAAAATAGTCACCAGGGACTGAGGTGAGCTGGACTCCAGTCCCAGCCTTGCCCTGGACGAGGGTGGCGAGGCCCACAAGCGCTTTGGCCCCCTACAGGAAAGCAGGCGAAAGTCAGCCCTCCACTTAGGTGAGCGAACTGTAGGCACCTAGGATGGACCCTCCACGACTGCTCTCTCACTGTGGCTTCCTACAGGGCTTCTTTTCAGTGTCAGGGATGCTACAGTGTTCAAACTAGATGAAGCCTCAGGATGTACACAGGGTAGCCTCACTGTTTGACACACAAGGTGCAAGGCCCAGCGGAGTTAGGTGAGTCACCTGGGTTACACAGCCTCCAGGCTCTCAGTTGTCTTTCTTTTTTTTTTGAGACAGGGTCTTGCTATGCATTTCAGGCTGGCCTTGAGCTCACTTTGTAGCCCAGGCTGGTCTTGAACTCGAAACGATCCTCCTGCCTCAGCCTCCTGAGTGCTGGGATTACAGGCCTGCGCCACCACGCCTGGCACTCAGTTAAGTCTTGATCATCCCTGTACAGCCCTGGTTCAGGCTGAGTCTTGGATCCTGGGTTTCTGACTCATTGCTTCTACCATGAATCAGCAAATGGTGACAATGCAAAGAATCATCTATTGAATTTTTTTTTCCGTAGTACTAGAGATTGAACAGAGGCTCCACAATGAGCTATATCCCACCCTCTTTTTATTTGAGACAGAGTCTCACTAAGTTGCCGAATTGCCCAGTCTGGGCTCCTACTTGGTGATGCTCCTGTGTTAGCCTCTCAGAGTTCTGGGATTTCAGGTGTGGGCCACAACCCCAGACTCAATGATCATTTCTTAAAAGCCCTGGAAGAAGTGATGTGTCCAAAGTCACAAGATTACTAGTAATTGGGTATAACTGAATGTTATTTATCAATCCTAGAGTCCCTCAATTATTTACTACCTATAATCAAATCTCCCAACTGGCATTAACACGTATCTTTTATATTTTCCCCCATTTCTTTTTTCTTTCTTTCTTTTTTCTTTTTTTGTGCTGAGGATTGATCTTTTTTTAACCATAGAACACCAACAGTGAAGTTTTTCCTTTAAAAATGCATATGAGTTTTTTTTGTTTGTTTGTTTTTTGTTTTTTCCAGTGCCGGCAATCGAACTCATAACCTCGTGCTTGCCAGGCAGGTGCTGTGCCGCTGAGCTAAATCCCCAGCCCCAAGTTTTTGTTTAATTAAAAAATGTGCTTACTATAAAGTTTAAAAAGGTATAAAGTGAAAAAATAAAAGTCTCTCTTTATATTATAATCCCTAATTATTTATTATTCCTTCCAAAAATTGAAAGGATTTAAAGTTAATTCTGTCTACTGACTAATGTTCTTGGCCATGGTTCCTCAAAAAGATTGATTGTATGGATGGTGCTGGGGTGAGGTCAGACCTAGGGCCTTGCATCATATGGAAGGACAGAGATGAGTGAAGCATCTCAGGGGACAGGAGTTTGCACTAGGGCCTATTAGCTGAGGATCTGGCATGAATCTCTTTCTGAGCTGGCACTGCAGTGTTGAGGGGAAGCTCATGAACCGTGGAGCCAGGCAGACAAAGGCTAGTTATTCTGGCTCTACCACATTCTAGGGATGTGACATGGGTTGTTCATTCCCTAATGTGTCTCAGTATCCTTACTTGTCACATGGAAATTAAAATAGCACCCTTTCTTGGTGCTATTATGAGGGTTAAATAAAACAATGCACATAAAGAACACATCAGTGTGTTTGGTATTAAGCACTGGTAGAAGAAATGGTAGCTATATTATTACTATCACTGTTGTTCTTTTTTGCTAGTCTACCTGCAGAAAGGAGCGGGCTTAAAGTCCATTACCTACTGCTATAGAAATAGCTCAGTGCAGAGCCTGGTATATCTAGGAAGGTATATCTAGGAGGAAAGAGAGACAACTAGAAAGTTAGTCTTTGGTCTGACCAGGAGAGTTAATGCCTAGGAATTTCTCAGCATATTAAAAATTCTAGGGTAGAGCATACGCTTAACATGTGCAAGGCCCTGGGCTAGATCTTCAGCACCAAAAGATGGATACATGCATACATACATACATAAACTAACTAGATAACCACACCATAAGTCAGGTGATCTGTACCCTCTGGGAGCAGAGATCTGCCTTATTTAATCCCCACTGCTGTCGCGTAGGCTCTGTAGGAAAAGGGACCATGTTCCTACCCATTCAGACGCGCCAGCCTGGTTTGGCAACTCCGGGAGAGCTGTCCCAGGCTGAGCAGGCAAGCGGGCTAGCAGGGCAGAGTCGGGAGAAAAGTGCCCTCTCAACCAGAATTCCAGGCCTCTTTTCCTAGTCCTCAGAGCACAATGGCAACATTATCATGGCCACTTCATCCAATCCTTTGCTACCCGGGGGCTGGAAATGACTAAGGGCAACGTGACAACGCATTCCTCCAGCCAACACTCAGCATGAGAAACCTAACGTTGAACCAAAGGGCCTGCTGAGCCTCACAAGAACTGGAAGTCCAGAACCTCAGACGAAAGTGCATTAGTCTTACATAGTTCCTAGGGTCGACTCTTTTTAATTTAATTTAATTTAATTTAGCGGTACTAGGTATTAAACCCAGGGCCCACACATGAAAGACAAATACTCTATCACTGAGCTACGTCCCCACCCATTTTACAATTTTATTTTGAGTTAGGGGCTCACTAATTTGCCATGGCTAACCTTGAACTTGTGACCTTGCCTCAGCCTCCAGAGTAGCTGGGATTACAGTGTGTACCACCATGCCTGCCAGGCTGGTTAAGCCTTTATGTTACAAAATGCCGAAGCACAGGACAATTTGCTAACTGACCACATCAATCAGGGAGGGAAGGAACACTGTGCTCCCAGCAGTGCTAAGAGGCCACGGGTTTTGACCCAGATCAGAGCGGGCAAACCTATGGCACTCGTGTTATTGTGTTTTTCTTTTAAGACACAAGATGTTAACGGAAAGAGTTATTTTCTCTAAACAAAAACCTCAGTATTCAGGTTTAATTGCAGTGTTACACTTTATAATACATAGGTGGGTTTTGGGTTGTAGTTTGGCACTTGGTCTCTAAAAGGTTTGCCATCACTGACCTAGATGCTAGAGCCAGGCTGGAGTGGGGGTTGTGTGTTATCCCCAGATTTCTCAAAGGTCTGATGGTGGAGGGCTCAGCCAAGACAGAGTGGGGATGCACGCAGTAGCCTGACATCCAGCCCATACACTTCCCAGTGTCTGCAGGGGCCTGCTGTGCCTGGGGCATGCAGATGGAACCAGATCAGCTTTGGGGAAGAAGACATTGCCCGAGTTATTGGGAAGCCTCTGGTCCTATCCTACGTGGAGATTAACATCAAGATCAGAATGATACTAGAGATTCAGTTCTCTTCTCTAGAACTTTCTCTTTCAGTGGAGCTTTTGTCTTCCCAGGAACGCTGCTGTCCACCCACCACACACATTCCTTTCTTCCTGTCTCCATGACTCTTTCCCTCCATCTTCTTCATTGCTCCCTTCCTTTTCACTCCTTACGTTCTCCCACTCTCTCTCTCACTTCTTTTTTTTTTTTGGTCTTTTAGAGACAGGCTCTCACTATGCAGTTCAGGCTGGCCTTGAGCTCAATTTCTAGTCCAGGCTGGTCTCAAACTCGCAATGATCCTCCTGCCTCAGTCTCCCAAGTGTTGGGATTACAGGCATGTGCCACCACGCCCAGCAATTCTTTTCTCATTCTTTTATTAACTGATCATGATAAAGAGCTGAAAAGTATCTTTTATTATCGGTTGAATTCATGCTCAATTAAATTTTAAACCCTCTTCTTAAATTTCAGAAAAATGAACTTAACATTTATATTTTCCTCCAAATGATGATACTTTAAGCAACAAAGGCCTTTTCAGAGGAGAGAATTTTAAAGATCATTTAAGTTCAGCTTTTTTTTTTTTTTTTTTTTGTTGTTTTTTTGGTTTTTTTTTAGTTGTTTTTTCAGACAGGATCTCACTATGTAGTTCAGGCTGGCCTGGCCTCCTGAGAGCTGGGATTACAGGCATGTGCCACCACACCCTGCTTCAATGGCATTTCTGAGAAGGGAATTTTAAAGGTCATCTAATTCAGTCCCTTAGAGGAGATATGTTCAACTCACAACCCGCAGGCCACACGCAGTCCTGGACAGCTAATACCGTGGCCCTATGAGACTATAAACTTTTCCACTATTGTGTGGTGTTTTGGATATTGGTGATGGCTTGAATATATGGTGCTCTGCCACAGACTGTATGCAGCAGAATGCTGTGTAGAGGAGGGTGCAGGGCAGTGCTACCTCTGCCTCCTTCACCAGCCACATGCAGTGGAACTGAAAGTCACATGTATCACATGTTACCAGTGCTTGTGCAGCTTAGTGAGCAAAATGCAGTGATGACCTATAATGCAACAGCATTTCAACCATACATTTGGGCTTGTGTTATTTCATAAAATAATTTAGTAAGTTAAAATATTAAAAAACAAAGGAAGTCTTGTTACTTATATACATGAACTATATTATATGTAGCCCAAGACAATTCCCCTTCACTCATAGTGGCCCAGGCAAGTCAAAAGGTTGGACATCCACACCCTAGAAAGATCAAGATGTGCTATGTGTATGTACCAATTCCTCATGATGAATGCATTTATTATGGACCATAAACATACATTAAAGAGGGGGAGGGAGAGCAGTGCACCTCGTCCCTTAGAATGACATTCCTTTCTTCTCGAACTCTTCCAGGGATGGGAGCCAGCTACTGTACAGAGGAAGACTGACACAGAAGAAGCCGTACATACTCAGCTACAGCCTGATGAGTTTAGGGATACAAATACTCCTGTGAAACCACTGCCACTGTTGAGGCAACCCATTACTTCTTTAAACACTCAGTTCTGGGGCTGGGGATTTAGCTCAGCGGCAAAAGCGCCTGCCTGGCAAGCGCGAGGTCGTGAGTTCGGTTCCTGGTACCGGAGAAAAACCAAAAAAAAACCAAACAAACAATAAACACTCAGTTCTGTCAAAAAGTTCTTTATATTGAGCTTATCCCAGGGAGGTACCTGCGGGGGCAAAGCGTGGGGTACACCAGTCAGCCCTGGGGTCTTCTACTGGAGTAGCTTGATGGGGCAGGGCAGATTGAAGAGCTACACTGCAGCCAGATTCATGGGTCCTGAATACCAGGCTAACATATGATCACTCTGTTTATGCACAAATAGCCAAGTGAGACCTCTAGAAGGCAGCTGAAGATAACTATCGACTGAACATCTGTGAGCAGAAATTGTGCAATGTGCCTAGTGCTTCACAATGGTAATCTAATTTATTATATAAATAGCACTATATCATGGGTATTAGTGTCAGCCCATTTTATAGATGAGGACACTGGAGATCAGCTTTCAGAAATGGTAAATACAGATCTGCTTAACTCTAATGTCCTGAACACAGCACTCTATATGATAGAGGAAGCAGAGAGGCCAGGGCAGGACACCTCACCCTGGAAGGCATGAAAGGATAGTGTCAAAAACATAAAGCCAGGGGCTCATCTGAGTCCTCTTCTAAAGAGGAGTCCCAGCTGGAGCTGGAGCTCAGTGGTACAACATTGGCCTGGGCTCAAAACACAGCACCACAAAACCAAAACCAAAACAAACAACCTAAGAGTGAGCCCCGATCTCCAGTTTTAGTCTAGTGCTTGCATTTAAACTCTGCTGACTCCTCCCCATCTGCCCACTGGATTCTGTCACCTCAAATGTGAGAACAGCTCCTCCCTAGGAACTTTGTGCTAAGCCAACTTGGATTTGAACAGCTCTGCCATCTGCAAACCCCATAACCTGGGTCAAGTTACTTAACTTCAATGGGCCTCAGTTTTCTCATCTATAAAATGGGAACAGTAACATACCTTCATGGAGGGTGCTTATGTGGATTAAATGAGATCATCTGTAAACTGTATAACAAGGTGAACAAAGTAAGTGCTCAGTAAACTTCACTATTATTGCTATTACTGTTCTTTCTCAGGCTTGAAACTCCCTCTTGCAACCCCATTTATAGTTAACCCCTATAGTTATAGTTAATCCCAGTGGTGGTGAACCTATGGTGTGAGTGTTGTATTTTTCTTTTAAGACAAAAGATGTTAATATACAGTTGTTTTCTCTAAACTAAAACCTCAGTACTCAGGATTAATTGTAGTGTTGGTACTCTGTGATAAATAAGTGGGTTCTAGGGTACAGTTTGGCACTCGATTTCTGGAAGGTTCACTGTCACTGTCCTGGGCTGAAGCTGTGGTTTAATGGAAGGTGGTGTCTAGTAGGGTAAAGCATTGAGTTCAATCCGGAGCACCACAAAAACAGAAGTACACTCAATCCTCATGCTCAGAGGCAGGAGAGAGAAGAGGAACCCATAAAAGAGACAGTGAAAATTCAGTGCACTTTTGCTCCCTGTGGTGACCGTGTCCCCTGGTTTGGAGGTTGTTTCTGCAGGGTTTCTCTTCTCTATTCACTCCTGAGAGAGTGGGGCGGTGGCCAAGATCCCTGCTCTTCTCCCTGCAGACCTACGACTGGGGACCATCATGTCCACTGCTGTTATTTCCACCTCCCTTCAATCCAAGCCTGTGTTTTCCGTCACCTGCAGCCTTGCCTCCCTATGAACTCACTCCATTCCCTCTCAGGAGCTAGAATCAAAGTTCTAGAAATCACCTAGTCCAAAAAAATAAATAATAGACAAACTGAGGTATATCATGTAGAGGTACAAATTCCTTATGATGAATGTGATCATTGTACATACCTAAATTGTACAATAAATTTAATTTAAAAAGAAAAAGACATCACCTAGTCCATCCCCTCAAGAAATTAATTTCCAAATTAAAGCTGTTATTTAAAAAAAATTCTTGGGCCGGGGATATAGCTCAGTGGCACAGCACCTGCCTGGCAAGCACAAGGTCGTGAGTTCAATTCCTGGTACCAAAAAAAAAAAAAAAAGAAAAAGAAAAAGAAAAAAAATTCTTGCACGAAAATAGACGCATCTTGAGACCGTAATGTTAAGTGAAATAACCAGACACACAAACTTAAATACTGCATGGTTTCTGCTACATGAGAAACCCAGACTATAAACAAAGAGCAAAATAAAAGACAGATAATGGTGGCACATGCCTGTAACTCAGCACTTGGGAGGCTGAGGCAGGAGTATTGCCATGAGTTCAAGGTCAGCCTGGGCTACTTAGCAAGACCCTGATTCAAAGAAAAAAGACACGACAGATATTAGGAAGTAGGGAGGTAGATCTCTCTCAGATGAGAAAGGGATCAAGAGATGGACAGAGCGTAGAGGGAGGGAAAGAGGAGGGGATGAAAAAAGATTTAAAATGTGTTATGCACATGAACTGACTCCACATAAAGAATGTGACCGTCATGTACTGCAAACATGTGCCAAAATGTTTTTAAAAATATATTTAAAAATTCTCACATAATTAAATGCGAGCAGAGCAGGCCTCCTCCTAACCAGCCTACACACACTCACCAGCCGCACCCTGTGCACTGTGCACAAACATTCCGGTTTCTCATGCTAGCTCAAATATTTGCGTTTTTACCATCCACTCCCACGTACTCCAGAGGCCCAGGCTGCTATCAAGCCCGTAGCTCACTCCCTGGAAATGCTATGAAGAGCGGATCATCAGTGATTCACGGTAAACAAGGTGCTGGCCGCAATCACAGACTCTCACATATCCGTACACCCTAGCGTCCCTCGAGAACCTCAGTAACGGGAAATTCGGTAAACGCAAAAGGAGACGGGAAAGGAGATTCCAAGGAGACGGCCTGGCACCGTGTTTGTACCCAGGGAGGGGAGAACAAAGGGAACCGGGAACTTGCAGGTGGCAGGCAGCGAATGGGGAGACAGACTGAGAGCGGAGTCAGAGTGAATGAGGGCACTGGGGCACCTCAGCTCCTGCTCCGCTGCCCCCGAGGGTGGTGCGACTAGAGGACAGAAGTCGGGGGGTAGCTGGAGCTGGAGACGATACCGTGACTCAGAAAGTGGGGACAGGAGTGAGTTGCAGATGGGGAGCAAAAGCCCAGTGAATTTGGAGGAGGGACCTTGCTCTTGCCTTCTGAGGTCGCTGAGACTTTACCTGCCTGGCTCGGCTTGCTCCCTACGGCAGGGCAGCTGGGATGGCAGGGTCAGGAAGGGGTTAAGCTAACAACCAAGAGGTCTGGACCCCTGCTTGGCTGCTAATGTTTCCGTTTACCTGGTGCTTTCAACCCATATCAAATAGCCTTGTGCTAATGATCTCATTTCATCTTCAACACAACCCTGGGAAAGAGGCAGGACCTGATCTTATCTTTCCTGTGCTCCTCCCTCGTTACCCTGTGGCTCCCTTCGGAGCCCTCAAAACATTTCTTCCATCCTATAAACATCCAGTGCTGAATTGGGCGATGCCTCGGGGCTGCTACTGGAACAGAACGCTGAGGGTTCTGCCTGGGCTCCACCCTGGTCTTGATCCCTGCTGACTGTCCTAGATGCGGTGTGATACAGAATCATTGCACCCCTCCTGGAGTTTCCCAGGCTGCCCCCCTGCTCTGCTTCTATCTGACAGCCCAGCACATAATGACCATCTCACCCACTCTCCAGGGAGCTATGTCAAGCTTCCCCTCAGGAAGCCAATGGAAACCCGAAGCCTACGGAGACGAAGGCCTCAGTTCTGAGTCACCCAGTGAGCAAATACAGAGAAATCCGGGCTGGCTTGGAAAGCCTATGGGGTTGGGGTACTGGAAGATCAGGGTTCCAATACTGGCTCTGGGAGAGAGGCAGGACTGGACCAGCTCCCGTCCCCCAACTTTGGCTTCCCTAACTGTCAAATGGAAATAACAGGGCCTGTCTCTTGGGGCTGTGGGGAGGATTAAATGAGATTAAGATGCCAAAGCATTACATAAAAATGAATTACTCCGGTTATTAAGGAATGCAGGTAACATGAGCACTACAGAGCAATGAAATAAGGCTAAACTGAATATGAAGAGTCTGGAACTCTGCTCAGTTCACCTGTGTGGCTCTGGGCAAGTCCCAGGCTTCAGTTTCCCAAGGCCCCTGCCGGCTACAAGACTGTAGTGATGCATGGGCTATTCCTCTGGCCCAAGAATTCTGGCATTGACCAACCTGATCTCTCTCTCATTTTCTCTCCCTCCCTTGCCCTTCCTCCTTATATTAGACACAGGGTCTATGTTGCCTAGGCCCGTCTGGAACTCTTGGACTCAAGTGATTCTCCTGCCTCAGCCTCCCAAGCAGTTAGGACTATAGGTACAAGCCAGTGGGCCCAGCTATACCCTGATCTCTTGACTGTTTTGTTACCTGAGCCTTATATTGCCTTAGATCCACAAATCTTATGGAGCGAAGCCAGGCAGGTACCAGTAACAACCTTTTCTCTACCCCTTCTACTTATTTCCCCAGGCAGCTGAAGGGCCCATCCATACTCTTCTCCCTCCTTAGCTTCCACGGCACTCCACAGCCTTCCACGGCCTTCCACGGCCCTCCAGGCCCTCCCTCCCGATGCCTCCCAGCTGTAAGAGGATAAGGAGTGTCCTGATAGTAAAACCCATGACAGACGGAAAGGTGAGATTTCCCAGTTGGAAACCCCAGACTGTCTGGATTTCCTCTTTGCTGGCGGAGGTGGTGGTTGTGGCTGTCTAACTGCCTGGCCTGCACATCCTGCATGTCCCAGGACAGCCCTAGCAATGCCAGACCCCTGATCTTGCCCTTGAGGAAGCAGCCCAGTATCACTCTGGCTGAGCTCACAGAGGGGAATTAAATATTAAACATGTTAAGGCCAGAGTCCCTGGTGCAGAGGCACATTCCCAGCACACAAACAATGCACACGGCCTGGCTATCAACTCTCCAGCAGCTATGGGCAGGGCTTCCCTGCTCCCAGCCCACACTCCATGGAATAAGAAATGACAATGTTTTCTTCTCCCCAGCAAGCTCATGGTCCCCCGTGTCCTTCCTCCAACTCCTAGTGTTGCAGGCTCCAGGGGCCTGGAAATGTCTTGAACACTGAGTTGTGGCATCTGCAGTATTGAAATTTAATAGGTCTGTGATTGGTCAGGCCCCATTGATGGGAAGGGAATAGCTCAGGAAGTACCCTGAGGCTTTGATATCCTTCAAGGCATTGGAGAACTGGCTATTATTGGCGAGGCCTGGCTGTGTAGGCCAGTTGGTTTGTTTCTCAGATTAATGTGGGTTGTATAAGTAACTGGACTGGTAAAACCTCAGAGGTCACCTAAACTATCCTTCTATTTTACAGGAAGAGAAACTGCGGCATGAGAAAAGGGGAAACCAATTACACAAGGTCACTCAGGGAGCTGTAGAATAGCTAGGCTTTGGCTCTAGGTTTCTGGTATAGAGCCCAGTGCTCTTTCAACCCTCCTTCCTCCAGCACCCTACAAATTTCCTTCCTAGGGATACCATGAAGTGGGCCTGGCACTGAATGGCTCCTTTTCCTGGGAACAGAATCCACTCAAAGGTGGTCCTGTTTTGCCATGAAGGACCTGAAAGAGCATGAGGTCCGTGGGTTCCAGCTCATCTGTAGGATGGAACCTCAGTTCTGTCACTTCTTTGAGCCATCCCAGTTCTTCACCTGTAAAATGGGGATTTTAGAACTGATACCCTGGATGGCTGCTATCAGGATTTTAAGGCATTTCTGTACTGTGAAGTGCTGCCCAAAAGTCAGATATTATTAACACAGTGGTACGTCAGTTCACGAACTTGAGTCTTTCCACGATTCCGGTTGCAAATCGAGTTGGACCAAAACCAAATCCAATTCAATGGTTATGTTCAATGTTGACTTTAGGGAAAATATGACTCAGTTCTCATCCAGTACAGGTTGTGACCAGAATCATGAAGAGAATTGAGTTTGTAAACTGAGGCACCACTTTACGATGTGAGGTCTGAAGATTCTGTAGGAGGGGGAAGTAGCAGGGGAGGAGGCTGTGCAGAAGTGAGAACCCACACTCACAAGGGGCAAGGTCCTGCCCGGCTGTCCCATGGACCTAGCTGATCCTGGGGCCAGCCCGAGACCCACAGCAGTCGGTCAGACCCCACAAGTTCACTGGCTTGATGTCACCTGCCTGCTTTGCTTTGTGTATACCCAGGCATGTGCATGAGTCTGGCCGTCCAGTATTGCAGCAATCTGCCTGGCCGCTCTAGAGGCAGTAGGCATGTGCAGTACAAAGGGAGGTCACCCCACTTCAGGTCAGCTCATGGACCCTCAAAGGGGAGCCTACCAGCAAAGACCCTTGCTGGGACCTCTCCTGCTGGGGCTCTGCTGGGACTCTTACCTTGTACTTGGCTGCAAGCAGCTCTGTGGCCTGCTGCTCCCGCTTCAGGTCCTCCAGCATCTTCTCCTTCTCCTCCAGCAGCTTCTGCTTCTCCTCACTCACCAGGCTTCGGTCGTCCTGGATGGCTGCCTTCTCCTCCTCCAGCCTCTCCTTCTGCTCCTGCAGGTAATTCTCCATATTCTTCTCCAGAGCTGGCTCCAGGATGGGCTGGGGCGGGTGGTGGTTGTTGTTGTTGTCATCTTCTTCTTCAGCCACCCAGGCCTCAATCACTGGCCCCTCGGGGTACCCTGCCGGGGCAGACACGGCCTTCTTTTTGCGGCTGCTCTTCCTGCGGGGCCGCTTGCCCAGCATCCCCTTCTTCTCCAGCTGGGCCTTCAGGCGGGCAATCTCCTCCTGGAATTCCCTCAGCAGGGTGTCCTTGGGGTCCTCGTTCACCCGGGGCTTGTTCTTGATGTTCTTGGCTCGGTTGGCGAAGCGTAGGGTGGAGAGGCTCTCATCGTAGCTGTGAGAAGCAGGTCCCAGTGTGGCCACCATGATGGTTTTGGCGTTTCCCCCGAGAGAGTCCTGGAGCAGCCGGGTCAGCTTGGAGTCCCGGTAGGGGATATGGGTGCTCCTGTTGCCCGCCAGAGCAGCAATCACGTTCCCCAGGGCAGACAGCGAGAGGTTGATTTTGGAGGCTTCTTTAGGCCTCTCTCCACTGCCACCACTGCCGCCACCTCCACCTCCGCCACCACCCGTGGACTGAGAAGCTGTCCCTCCAGCTGTGTTGGGGCCTGCCTTGTTCTGCCTCTCGCTGCCAGCCAGGTCCACCAGGTTGAGCTTCCCCACACGGATGTGCTCCTGGCCATCTGAGCCTCGCTCGCTGCACTCCACAGTGATCACGAAGATGGCGTGGGAGCGGGAACTGACCTCATTCATGTGGGTGCTACCCACCGCTCGGGTCTGGTTCCCCAGGTTCATCACATGTTCAATCTCCTTGACATTCTTGGTGACAAAGGAGGAGAGGTCTTTGATGTAGACGCCTGTCTCGGGGTTCTCCTTCAGCTCTAGTCTCTTGCCTGGCTCTTTAGAGAGCAGGTCTCGAATCTCCTCCTGGTAGATCTCCAGGTAAGAGGCCCGGACCAGGTACTGTTGGTTCTGGGAGCGAGAGATGTGGGTGAAGATGTGTTCAAAGGCATTGGGGATGACCCCGCGCAGCTCGGGCTCCACCCAGGTTCCCTGCATGGTGTAAGTCTTGCCGGTGCCCGTCTGGCCATAGGCAAACACTGTGCCATTGAAGCCCTGAAGGACTGAGTCTATGAGGGGCCTCACGGTTTCATCATACAGGTCTGCCTGCTTGGAGCTGGCATCGTACACGGCGTCAAAGGTGAAGGTCTTGGGCAGCTCCCCAGGGGCCGCGCGGGGGTTCCGCAGGGTCACCTGGCCCAGTTTCACGTCCATGGTCAGGATCTGCTCGTGACCGGCGGCCTCCTCTTTCCTGCTGAGGGGGCGGCACCGGGCCACCACCTTCAGGGCCTCGCTGGCCTTGGTCTTACTGGCCATCTTGCCGCGCTGTCGCTCCGGCTGTCCTGCTGCCTAGGTCGGGATCCGCTGGGCGGGCTCTGCCCCCAGGCGCCGCTCTTCAATCCGCATTCAGCCTCGCGAGGTGGGGATGCTGCTGGGAGGTGGCCCCGCCGCCGCTGCAGTCAGGGCCTCGGCTCTCCGGTCCTCGGTGCACAGGCTGGGGAGGCGGACTAGGCAGAGCCCGCGGGCAGCCGTGAGGGCTGCGCCTGCCGAAGGGCAGTGCCCGGAGCGCGCCCCATGCCGGGGCAGAGCGAGCGCTGCCGCCGTAAACAGCTCCCGCAACAATGAGATAAAGGAAGAGGAAAATGAGATGGGGGTGGGCGGCAGGCTGTCTTCGCCTCCTTCCTCTAGGGATCCATGGCGCGGCTGCGGGTCCGGGGCGGCCGGGATTCCGGCCCTCCCGAGGGCAGAGGCTCACCTGGAGTCCTCGCCCCCAGCTAGAGGATCATTCATTGCAGCCAGTGAGGCCGCCGCTGCCTCCGCCTTGCCCGCTGCCGCCGCCGGAGAATGGGAGAAAAACAGAAGGGGATAGGGCGGAGCAGCGGCGGCGAGAGTGATGTTGCCGCCGCCGCG